GTACTAAAGAGTTCTTACATAAGTAACTACACGTGTAAAACACATGTAAACATCACAATGCTCCTGCTGGTTTGTGTTTTCTGCCATGTTTTTATTAAGCAGTTGTGTGTTTGTGAGTCTACATTTTTGCTTTTTACCCACTATTAATAAAATCCACYACCATAACTTACGTATTGCTGTTTTTGGTAAATATTGGCTTGCAAGTGTCTTCTCATTGTTCCTCTTCTGGTCCTTTAAAAGCTGTTATGTCCTCTGAACACAGCTGCTCTGCTGTCAGGCCTTCCTCCTCCTCCTCATCTCCTGACAGCTCTGTGTCCGACTCTCCTTCCACAATAAGACACTTTCTGCCTCATTCAGCCCTCTACTTCCTGAATCATGAAAAGTGGTTAAGATATTTTTATCAAGTCTGCAAATGTTTAAACCATAAGGTTAGATATCATGTCTTCCACAGATTCAACAGTGAATTGATGGGTCTCAGGAGGCAGTGGTTGCTGACTCGTCACTTAAAGAGAGAATAATCTTTATATCAACCAAATGATTTTCATCAGCACAGACAAAATACTTTTTAAAATAAAATATTATTTTTCATAACAAAGGTTTTATTGTTAAACTTTACTTTCTTTTTAAGAAATGAGTTCTCCAGTAAGAAGAAGCTCCAGTCCTGCCCTGAGAAAACAGAATGGTAACACTTAACGGTCACTACTTTTTCAGTTTCCCTTATAATTTAGCAGAATGAACAGTTATGATATTGAACTGTATGCAGGACCTTCAGAGGATGAGTCTAGCCCAGAAGCAAACCAGGACAGTGCAGAGGAGAAGACTGGTTCCACTGGCTGTAAGCCCTTGAAGAGCCCTGCCTCGAGCAGTGATGACAGCAGCATCGATGACAGTGAGGATGATGATGATGATCCACACCAAGAAGCACTGAGGAAGATTAGAAGCAGCGTGGCTCAGATTCAAGTAAGAATGAAGAACTGCTGATGTTTCCCTATAACATGTTTTTATAGTAAATACCTTTCTTCCTGTTTTAAACTAGAAAGCACAACAAATTATGTTTCAATACTCAAGATAAAATTGTTAAAGGAGACCAATTATGGGTCGTAGAAATGTTTATGGTATGTCTGTGGGCTATCCAGACCATGTTCATTCAATTTAATGCACAAAATAATTCTCAGATAATAAAATTTCCCATTTTCTAGTTCTGCTGCTCTGACTTCTGTTCAGAAGAGCTGTTTATGTTAATGAGCTCTGTTG